ATGCCATTTAGCAGACGCTTTTATCCAAAGCGACTTACAGTCATGTGTGCATACATTTTTACGTATGGGTGGTCCCGGGGATCGAACCCACTACCCTGGCGTTACAAGCGCCATGCTCTACCAATTGAGCTACAGAGGACCACATGGTTATTCTGGCATTGACAGTGAAATGTCATTGAACCCAATCCTGGTGAACAGGAAGCCTTATCAGGCACCACTCTGCTGCTGTTCATTCTGAAAGATTATTATTGATGCCGAGCAGGTAATGTTGACACTTTGGGCTGCCTGTCTCTTACCATGATAGCTGTGGGGAATGCCATCCAGTGCCGGTGCCATTCCATACAATTCTCTTTCTGTTTCAGAGTAATACAAAGCACATGTGGGGCTTCTGAACATGGTGGGCTCGGCGTCTGTCCAATTGCATCTTCCATTCAGGCATTCAGGAAGAGTATACATTCTGCAGAGCAAACCTGTGCTCCTGCCTGGTTACGAAAGCAACACAAGTCTCAACACGTGCTCCATTCCAAAGGAAGAACAGCAAAAAATCAGCACAAACACAACACACCTTCACCAATGCTGACAGTAAATGTGGGAATAAAAAAACTGTTGCATGCATTATGCAAAGAAGAGCAACTACCTATGCTGTGCCTGTGCAATAAACAGATGTCAGTGTAACAACAACCTACAGTAGCTGGAGGGGAAGTAGTGCAACATGAAAGTAGAATTTGCATAGATTTGGGCCTAGGCCTATAGGTTAGTGCTTTTCCACCATGAAAATAAGTTGAGCAAGCTGCACACTACACAGACCAACCAACCAACCATCTTTAGGGTAAATCCATTAGAATTCAATCACTTTATGACTGCATCCCTTTTGATTTAAACAAAACTTTCCATACATGTTTTCCCATGGAAGAAGTGGACAGAAAGTGCATTTTTGGACCTGAATACCAAAACATTCAGGAGGTAAAGGTGCTCAAAGTTGACCGATTTTGCATACCCCACCATACCATGAGACATCCATGTCTTCATCACTGGAAAAGATAAACGGTTGAGTTTGATAACATTTAAAAGCTTAAAAGTATTATTTATTCAGAAATCTTCAAATTTAGACTCAATTATCTAAAAACGCATAAACTCAGATTATTTTCATATTCACATACAGTATGTCATAGCTTAGACCCTATTTTAGATCATCTAATGTTTTTATGTTGTTCCCGCCATCGGTTGAGACAACATGCTCACTATGGTAATTCACATTGATGCCCCTAAACGTATTGACATTTTCATTACATGTGCTAAATTAAATGGCACATACAATAGCAAACACTACCCCTGAGCCTCTTTGTGGTAAACATGTCAATAATTCTGTATTGCTCACATATACTTAGAGGCAATGCTAATGGTATATTTTAAAGGCTGAAGGGCCCACAGGCTTTCAGAGAAGTGAGTGATATTAGGCTGCAGTAGTGAAGCTTTTAACATTCAATAGCTAGACCATCGGTTTATTTATTTCCAACAAATGCTAGCCAATCATTTCCAAGAGGAAGGTTGCCAGCCATTGATTAGGCGAGCCAGACCAGAAGATACAATGGGCTCTTCAGTCCGTGCCACCCACAGATCAGTAACAGAGAGGCAGGGATGGAGGCAGCCTTGACTGCATCATGACATCCCTGAATTTCCGATTAAGAAGGTTTAATGTAATTAGCTAGAGTACAGTCAGTGTAGTGTACAGCCTGGCATGAGTAGCACAGCGATCACCTAGGGGCTTTAAGCAAACACTTCTCTCAGCCATGAGACGTAGGCACCCTGATGAGGCTTATAAGAGGTTGATTGACAGGGCTGCTGTGCACCTGTATGTTGCCAGCATTCTGATTGTCATCAGTTTATCTGGTCCTAGTATGAAAAATAACAAATAAAAGCCCTTTCTGTGGTTAACACGCTTTCTTAGCCAAAGACATGAGATGGAAGGCATATCATGGCATTAGACCTTTGAGAGTTTAAGAGGGAGGTCCATGTTATGACCATTGTATCACTTATCTTCTTCCATGTTAAACTTTACTGTGTAGGGTTGCAGTTGGTCCTTGTGCATTTTTTGTAAAAGGTTAAGGTCAGGAGGTGCTTTACCAACCCAACAGCACACGGTCCTTTGCTAGCTTGCCAAGTAGCCTACTCCACCATTAACATGGCATGTTTAAAGCACCTTGGGGTATGTTACTGAGTACACAATAAAGGACACCACAGGTCCCAGGGCAATGAATGACTCCCAGCCCAGTGGAAATGGCACTGACAGTCTCATAGGGCTTGAGTTAGCCTAGGTCTAGGTCATTATGTTTTCCCTGTTTCCCTTTCTCTTGCAACCTTTACCTGAACGGGCTGTAGAGATGCCACCAAAATTATTATTTCTGACATTGTTACCACTCAGTGGGCATTCAAGTGCAATCATTTCATCTAGGCCTATGTAATCCCATCAGCACAAAGAACCTTGAGCAAGATGGACTGTGGTTAAAATAAACCAATATTTTCCCCTGCATGATGAAGTAAAAAACAGCACGCAACTGCCCAGGCCGCCGACATAAACTGCATTCTACTCACTTGCTAGTAGAGACTAGCTCCGGGAGGGCCTGGAACAACAATGCAGGGGGAAGAATGTCCCATTTCACTGACAGCTTGTGTTTCAATGCCTTTATCACAGTTAATGTTAACCAATTTCATCGTGGCATAGGAGAATGAATGGGTCTGGCGTGAATATTATCAAAATACTATAATTATGCTTAAGCGTTTGTAGACAATTTTTCTCAATGACGACGGTCCAAAATGTCTAGACAAACCAAATCGATTGACTAGTTACCTACACGAGTATATGGTGGACTAGAGTTTGCAATACAACATACTGGTATGATATGAATATCTTGCGTATGTAACAAGGTTTCTATTTCATGTGTCATTTTATTTATGTATTTTTCACTGACGATCATCTCCTAACAAAGAGGCACTCCATTGCGCGTGTTATTATTAAACATGGCAAGACAAGGGTCCACTGCATGGATGCAAATGAATAGCTACTGCTGTGATTGCAACGAAATACAATAAACTGATTGATTAGGGGGGGCTGTTTACTGAATGTGGCTTTTCTTTGCCGTTTACAACACGCGTTATGAGCACCGACCGTTCTAGGTCGGAACATCTCGCTCTGCCTTCCATTCATCCACTGATGTCCCCTACCTGAGAAGGCTGGAAAGCGGGTGAGAAGCATTGTGACCACTGCTATTGCTGCTTCCACCAGTGCCCGATGATCCACTGCCACTTCCAGTCGATTGTCGTTTCCCAGAGAGAAGCTTTTCCACGGCAGCAAGATTTCCTGTGCGCGCCGCCTCTAGGAGTTCCTGCTCCTTCCCCATCTCGGATCGAGAAGGGGGTCGGAGGATTTGGGAAAGGGGGTTGGAAAGCGGGAGAAAAAATGCTTTACGGTCCTCTACTAATCTCACAGGCGTACTCGTTATTTCAACGCCGAGGAAAACGGTGGTTCCCTCCACGGCTGGATCAGTCTCTCCAGCGTCACAATTTTACAGGATTTCTGATCCTCCTCTATCGCTCCGGGGAAAACTTTAGTTCAGCACCACCGAGCAAACTGAAACTTCCTTTGCCCAGTCTCAAGCGCGCGTCACTTCCTCGAAACTGCCCCTGTCTGACGTCGATCAGTCCGTTTTTTCATGATCTCGTATTGTTGTATTTAGTCGGTGATTATTGTATTCTATTCTACTACCAATGTTGAAGAACATAATAATCATTTTCCTACAACTACAAAAGCACATAATTCATAAAAATGTTCTATGTGCAAAATATCTCTGTACAAAATAGAAGTGCTGAAGTGCACAGTACATGGTCATTACATTTACATTTTTTGTCATTTAGCAGACGCTCTTATCCAGAGCGATTTACAGTTACATCATAATATAGCTAGGTGGGACAACCACATATGACAGGCATAGTAAGTACACTTTTCCTCAATAAAGTAGGAGGGGGGAGCAAGTGTTGGGTCAGGTAAGGTTGGCGGGTTATTTAAGATACATTTTGAAGAGGTAGGGTTTCAGGTGCTTTCGGAAGATTGACAAAGACATTTACATTTTAGTCATTTAGCAGACGCTCTTATCCAGAGCGACTTACAGTTAGTGAGTGCATACATTTTTCATACTGGCCCCCGTGGGAGTCGAACCCACAACCCTGGCGTTGCAAGCACCATGCTCTACCAACTGAGCTACAGGAGATCTGATTCTGCTGTCCTAGCTTCAGGGGGAAACTGGTTCCACCATTGGCGGGCCCGGACAGAGAAGAGCTTGGACTGGGCGGAGCGGGAGCTGCCCTCCCATAGGGGTGCAATAATAAAGGTAAATAAATATGTTTAATTTTCACATACACCGGATAGGTGCAGTGAAATGTGTTGTTTTACAGGATCAGCCATAGTAGTACAGCGCCCCTGGAGAAAATTAGGGTTAAGTGCCTTGCTCAAGGGCACATCAACAGATTTTTCATATTGTCGGCTCAGGTATTCGAACCAGCGACCTTTCGGTTACTGGTCCAATGCTCACTCTCTCTTTCTTCTGAAAAATAAATAAAAACAGAGCTGCTGTAGGAGCAAGCATAAAACACAAAATATCTTTATGGGTTCTGGAGAATGAAATGTCTTTTAAAGTTAATTATCGAGGCTATTGACATATTGATATAGTTTAAAACGTCGATTACCAAATTACATTTAGTTAGAGCACTGAGCATCTAAAAAATAGCCTAGTATTTTATTTCCCATTTAACCAAACATGTATGACTAGGTGAATGGAAATACTCCACTGTAGATAAAGCACTGGACCAAATATAACGGAATGTGTATCTTTACTCAACTGACAGAGAAAGGACAGAACTATACAATAATAATAATAATAATAATAATAATAATAATAATAATAGTTGTCAATGCTCTCCCAATAAAGGACAGTAGAGGGTTTAAACCGGAAGTGGATTTCAGCAGCAGCTTCCGGCCTGAATGTTCTCCAATTTGTTTTTTGATGTTGCTTCAAAACATTTATCTTTCGCGCTTTAGCTAGTATTTAGCTAGTATTTAGCTAAAGTATCGATTTTATTTTATTGATCAATAAACGAGGTACACAGAATTCCACGAGGCTAGTAAGTGAGCGTAGCTGGCTGTGAAGTTGTTTGCTAGTAGCTAGCTAACTTGTTGTTGATGTTTCTCGAGTCAACCATTGCCGTTTTGACTGTTGCATAATTATAAATTAGATTGGTGTGGTAAGATTTCGAACGAGTTATGGCAGACCCAGCTAGGATAAAGACTGAATCCAACTCGGAGAAATCATTGGCTGCTAGAAAAAGCCCTAAAACCGAAGACACTGAAGAAGTGCCCGTGACCTCGGATGCAGACACCGAATCAAAAGATCCCTCATCACAATCACTCAAACGCGAACAGGTAAGTGGCTTGTTAGAATAACTATAACTTATAAAGAGTGTATTGAAACATTGACCCTACAACCACATTTCAACTGAGCTCACCATCCACATTCAAGATAAATATAGTAAACTATTTCTTACTTCCCTACAATATCTTTAATCCTCTGTTTACTTTGCATGACCTGCTAAAGGACTCTGTGGCTGGAGAGGATGAGGATGAGGGAACCTCAGGTCAACCTGCTTCCAAAAAGCTTAAAGTGGAGCCTGAGAAGAAAAAGGAGAAGCGCCAAAAGGTTGACGAGGATGAGATACAGAAGATGCAGTAAGATTCAGATACTGTACATTCTGTGTTTGTGTGGTAACTGCACTAAGACAATTATTTGTTGCAAGCATTCATACATTAACATTTTTCCCTCTGGTGTTGTGCAGGGTTTTGGTCTCATCCTTCTCTGAGGAGCAGCTTAACCGCTATGAGATGTACAGACGCTCTGCCTTCCCCAAAGCTGCCATCAAGAGGGTAAGACCTTTAGGCACATCTGTAATTATATTTCATCTGAATCAGTTCAATTTAAAATAATCAATTTTGCTGATGCATGTATGCAGTATTTCAACGTATACTTATCTTTACCTGGTTGATACAGCTGATACAGTCCATTACAGGATCCTCAGTCTCTCAAAATGTGGTTATTGCCATGTCTGGTATTTCCAAGGTCTTTGCTGGAGAAATAGTGGAGGAAGGTGAGTAAGGGACATCAGAGTTAATATTGATTAGTTGGCCAGATTTAAGATCTTGATTGTTTGTCTTCTATGTTCACCAACAAAGGCTTTGAAGCATTTTGACTACTCTGACATGCTTCTGTTTGGCCCTGCAGCTCTGGACGTGTGTGAGAAGTGGGGGGACACACCTCCCCTGCAGCCCAAGCACATGAGGGAGGCTGTCAGGAGGCTGAAGAGCAGAGAGCAGATCCCCAACACCAAGCACAAGAACATCCTCTTCCACTGAGCCACGCATGCCCTGCTGATTATAGACAGAGCCAAGCGGTGATGTATTCACCTTTCAGATGGTGGCATCTTACACTCCGCTTTATGTTCATTCTCTATTCCAATGTCCATTGGTTTGGCCATGAAGGCAAGCGCAGTATACTGTTGTCAGCAATAGCCCAACTCCACCTTTGTGTTACATTTGAGGGCATTTATATTTACATTTTAGTCATTTAGCAGGCGCTCTTATCCAGAGTGACTTACAGTTAGTGAGTGCATACATTTTTTTTTTTCATACTTTCTTGGATATACTAGTGGTCAATAATAAAATGACCTCAGCATCAAGATTTGTGCTAATGTTCTAAAATACATTTGATTATTTGAGCTGTTGGCGAAGCATGTAAGTTGAAAATATGTATCCAAAACTGGTCACTTCTAGTGCCTCATTTGTTTTGTTTCAGTTAAAGCATTTTATTAGACCTCGGGTCAATAACTGTGGGACATATTTCAATAAATAAAAGGACACATTTGTTAATGATTTATCTTCTCTTGTTAGATGAAGATCGCTTCTCTTGTTAGATGAAGATCGGGAAAGTCTCGTAAGATGAGCTTGTGTGTGCATGTGATAAGACCCTAACTTTAAACCTGCTCTCACTGTGTAAATAGTCACCCACCATCCTACACTGAATATAGACAGCACACAAATAATGACAAAGTTGGTTCAATAGTTTATCACTTTGAAACATTTCACATACTAATTTGGTTCACAGAACCAAGTTTAGTCTTATTCAATGATGTGATGACTTCTAAGCAAGTGTTACATAAATATTACATAGAATACTGTCAGAGGGCCTCCCACAACATTAGTATCAGGAAATTATCTTATCAGGGATGATCCTCTCAAAGTGATTCACATTAAGCAAGTGCAATTTCTAGTGAACATACCACACTTGAAAGTGCAAATAATCCACAAGGCTTAGAGCAAAATAACAATTAGTTCAGTTACAATGCATGCACTCACTCCTTCCACAACAATTAGAATATTTTTGCAAAGTCATTCTGATGACTAAGACGAAAGAAGAGAAAGCAGCCCATGTAGTGAGGAGGCCAGGTGTCCCAGTCCCACCCCTCATGCATCATGGTAAACCGAGCAAGTTAAGGGGTGCAGCAGAAGTGTAACTTGACTGGCTGTGTGGAGAGGGAGCTGGCTGGAGTGGGCACTCTGCTGTGGGACGGAGAGGTACTAACAGGGTTGTTCTAAGGAGGGGGTTAGGGTTGATTTTTAGACACACTTAGTCACAGTCAATCACATAACTGCAGCCTTCCAACCGGGGATGTCATTTTCGTTCCACATCACTTACTTATTAAACTGACAGCTAAGGCCATGGCAATGGCAAAAACAAAAAGCAAATATCAGCAAAAAAATTGGGGAGCAGCATGTGTTTGAGGTTTGTTGATATTATTGAGAATGGAATCACTGCTTTGTTACACTGACTGTGACCTTTAGGGACTTTTAAAATACAAAACATGCAGGATGGGAAAAAACCTGAACCATTAGACAATTTTTAATTTGATAACCTTAGGCATTTTGTATGTTTGTGTTAAAAAAAAGAAATTACATAAAACTGTTCCCTCTCAGGATATGAGTAAAACAGACTTCCTCCTATCGCTGCATGCTACTTCCCACAATCAGAATGTAACACTGTCATTCATATATTCGCTCTGGATAAGAGCGTCTGCTAAATGACTAAAATGTAAATGTAAAATATTCATATTGGAAGGCAACCAGAAAAACAGTGGTATATTATTATGACCACCAGAGGTCTCAAGCTTCCACTCAGAAGAAAGTGGAGAATGACACTAAAAGCTCAACTGAGGGTTGGTTAGTTAACTTGTTAGCACTGTACCACATACAGAAGTTTCTTCTTGACCCATTTTAGTTTCTCACCACTCACACTTGTTTTGCGGAGTGTGACTTTGATCTAAGTAACGTTACTCCAATGTGTCTCTACCTCATCAGGACCAAATACTAATCTTCTCAGACAACAGAAGAAAAAAAACATACAAATAATAAAACTTCAATACTTTTATAGTCACCGCCACATCATACCCTAGAATTGCTACAAAAATATATAATTAAATAATACTAGAAATGATTCCAATTAGTACAAAGGCTTCACGGCTTTTACATAGTAATTTAAAGGTACCCAACGGGTGGAATACATCAACAAATTGACATTAGTGCACCTGTCAGTTTTACTGTAGATAAAAGCATTAGTATTATACATATATTGTGCATTTATACACAATTAAGATTCAGTATCTCTATTCTTTGATCTGATGGCTGTGCCACTAGTGTTTATGAAATGGCTAGTAGCAACACTGTCTTATCAAAAATCATGTTACATGCCTGTAAAAGTTCATATCAAAAGAATAACACTACGTTTAATCAATGCTGGGCTCCCAACGGGTGCTTCTAACCACAGATTAATATACCCCAATCCGTTCCCCTGTATCTAAAAGTTAGGCATAGGAGAAGGATCCATAGATGTCTAATTCTATGGATGGACCACAGCTGTGGTCAGTGAGGTATTAGTATATACCTAGAATGTGTTTCTCCATGCAGATGAGTGAGTTAAGGAGATCAAGTAAAACCCGTCTGAGGGCAGGGTACACCTCAAGTAACAAACTAAACCTTTCCTCAAAAGGCATGCGTCATCTGAACATTAAACGAATAATGCAAATATAGTTTTACAGTAACAAAACGTAATACTTTTTTTTTATGATGCAAAGAAAATACTGGGGAATATTTTTGACCTGGTGTCTGAAAAAGTCTGAACAGTGTAGAGAGAGCTTGCCCTACCCTCTGATACACAACCATTCAATCAAAGGGATAGGTATGCAGAGGTTTGTCTGGTGCTCCCATTGACAGGAGCTCTATGAAGTCAAAGTGCTTTTCTTTCCCTACTCTTCTATTTAATACACAATGGTCCTAAACAACGTTACAATAATGCATCTAATGTACCAGCTCCTAACTATACAGACCTACAGATATGTACAACTATGGACAGGACCTACTTAACATTAGCAAGCAGTTTTATCTTTGAAGCTTTGTGGATGTTTGTAAACCCACACACCAAGATTCCTAAAACACTAGTGATCTTCACACAGCATGCCTGACAGTGAATGATTTGTACAGGAAAACACATCATCAACAGACTTCAATTACAACTCTGACTGTTCTCTAGCATATAAGACAGTGCATATAAGACACATTTTGGCATGTGTTCTTCAAATCAAAGATTTGCTAAAAAATAGATGGCCAGTGAGGTGCAGCACAACAATGAGTTAACTATTCTCTATGGTGGTTTAAATTAAAACTAGGTGTAAATTGCTTTTGTACAGCAAAAGGGAACACGTTTAGATTGCCAGATGAAAGTAGTACCTGTTATGTACCTCAGAGTGTAAAGAGTGACTCGAGTGGGGCTCCTTGTTAATACAAGGGCCCCCTATGTGTTCTCTGGAAGTGACATACTGTTTGTTTGTGCAATTCATTACAAGAGCTTGAGCTTTGGAACCACCAGGTTGGATTCCACCATTGGGTGCTCATCTTTGTTGTTTACAAATTGTCATATGCCTGGGTCCAGACATTTCATTCAGTTCCTTTACTCCCTTATTAATGCAGTGTCAGTATATCGCCCTCTGCTGGTCAGGGGAGTAAAGCGGTCACAGGTCAAACATGGGGTCGTACTTCCTGACCTCCAGGAGGAGACGTTCTCGGTCAGTGAGGGCTTGAGAGAGGGCCAACTGAGCCTCCGATAGCTGGGACTCCAGGGACGGACTCTGAAGGATAAAGGATGTTGGCTTTATTAGTTTTCACTTCTAGATAACGTTTCTCTACTAGGGCAAAGAGCCAGATATCTCTTCAGCTATAATTGGAGTACCTGCTGCCCTGATTTGGCCCCTCATAGCCTTAACAAGAGAACCGGAACAGGAGAACTACAACTGTCTCGTTGGCAACAGATAATTATACTATTACAACATGAACACAGGATCTGTATAAGTAGATGGAAGTGTGGACTTATCTTCATCTAAATCATACATAATTTAACTTACAGCATTCCATCTAAGCCCTATGAGTACGTGTTTCTATATCAACTGTTTCACACACATTTAAGGTAAAAAAAACATAGCTAAGTACAATGCAACTATTGTAGGGACTGTGCTATCATAAATAAACACCATCTATGCTACGCTTTCATTTTACATGGTGGTGAGAACTAGCCTTTCTGACACTGCTGATACCCCAACACAATCATGTTTTTGTTAACAGCTTGTGTTGTCTGTTTATAAACCCTGTGATAATCTGATAAGTAATGGGTGAGGGAGCCAGAGAGTCAGTGGGTGTAGAGAATGTAAGTATTCAGGCTTTTGAATGCTCATACCGTGCTCTGCTGTTGTTGGACAGAACAAGAACTGTCTGGTTTCTCCAAGCATACTACAGCAGCACCTGCAGAGTCTGGGCCTGCACCACCTGCAGAGTCTCTTGAGGCTGGGCCTGCACCACCTGCAGAGTCTCTTGAGGCTGGGCCTGCACCACCTGCAGAGTCTCTTGAGGCTGGGCCTGCACCACCTGCAAGACAGAAAATACATATTTAGAAATACAGATGACTCATAACTGTTATTGCATGTCATTCAAGCAGTGAGAGACAAAATCATTGTAATCATAGTGATACTCAAAGGCATGTCCGTGTCCTCTCCCCCAATCACCTTTGATTCTCAACATGCCATCATCAGAACGCTCCAGAACCACCTGGTCCACGGTAAAGGTGGCAGGTTGGGGCTGGGGGGCCGTGGGGTAGATCTTGGGACCATCATCCTAAACAGGAAGGGAAAACACTGGTTAGCTCCATGGCATGGATGGCAGGCTAACTGTCATTTATTCATTCGGTCTCCTATAGATCGCTGTTGGGGTCTTACCACGTATAACAACCATAGGGTACACGTCAAATGACGTTATTTGACCCCAACAGAGTTCCATAGTCTCCCTGTGCCACCAGCTGACCTTCAGAGTGATGGCGACATTGTCCAGGCGAATCTTCATGGGCTGGACGTCAGCACTGAGCTCATCCTCCAGGAAGGGCCCCAGGGTAGCCAGGGTAGAGGCCAGGAGCTCCGCCCGACAGCCCTGCACACCCAGCTCCAGGTGACCTACCAACGCAGAGAGGGGACCATGCCGTGCTGCAGAGGGACCCATCTCCATACGCATTCCCACCACTGGAGCTGACCTGTAGCCCTGTCTCTGGCCCAGGGTGGACCCACCTGGAGATTAGGACATCAAGGAAAAAGTGAGTTATGTAGTCAGAGAATGGGTACTACGGATATGGATCTCTGGTAGTCCGTCGGTTTCGACGATGACGACTCATGCATGTCACTTCGGTTTATTGTGGGTTCTTGAGTGGCTCAGGAGTCCGAGTTTTGAAGCGCAGACTCTGAAGTATGAAGGACAGACATGTGCTTCCGTTGGTGTTGTGGGTCCGGTTGTGCGGGAATGACGCTTTGCTCTGGCTGCAGTTAGACGGTTGTTTCTGTCCCTCTCTAAGTTGTCTACTGCTGTGAGGGATTTGGAGTGCCAGGTGGATTGGGTAGAGGTGATGTCTGTGAGTTGGCTGGGCTGGATATTGCAGAACTTGAGGTTGTGTTTAAGGTTGTCTTTGATGCGCTTTTTGGGTCGGTCTGTCTTCTGGTGCCCCTGCTGCTGCTCGCCAAAGAAGATCCTTCTTGGGAGACGGTGTTGGGGCATCCTGATGGTGTGGAAGGTTCATCGGCGCTCTGCCTTAATGATCTTAGCTTTAATGGTGGTGCTGTTAGCTTTCTGCAGTATCTCCAGGTAGGATACCTTGTCTTGCCACTGGATACCCTTTATAGATTGTGTATGGAATGTCTCCAGCTGTTTGACGTGGCGACTTTACAGGGTCCAAGTTTCACAGCCATACAACAGAGTTGTGATGACTACCGCATTGTAGATTTTTTTATCTTTGTGGAAAGAGTGATGGTGTGATGATTTAGTATCCTGTTCCTCAGCCTTCCCAATGACTGGCTTGCTTTCTGGATTCTGCTAGTTATTTCTTTGTCGAGTGAGCCATCCTTGGAGATGTTGCTCCCCAGATATGTGAAGTGGTCGACATTCTGGAGCTCAGGTCCACTTAGGTGGATGCTGGGGACCACTGGGTTGGACAGGGGTGATGGTTGACTGAGGACTACAGTTTTTTTCCAAGCTGATGGTAAGACCGAAACTCTTGCAAGCTTCAACAAAGTTGTCTGACAAAGACTGGAGGTCTGCCTCTGTGTGCGCGATTAGGGCACAGTCATCAGCAAAGAGGGCCTCACGGACAAGATGTTCTTGTGTTTTGGTCTTTGCTCTGAGCCTGCACAGGTTGTAGATTGAACCATCATCCCTGTATCTGATGTAGATGCCTTTGATGAGGTCCTTAGTGGCGTGAAAAAGAGGTTGAACACCACCGGGCCCAAGACACATCCTTGCTTGATGCTGTTGGAGATGGGAAAGGCTTCAGAGATATCACCTCCACAGTGGATCTGGCCTTGCATTCCGTCATGGAGTAGATGGAGGACGTTGACTAGTTTTTGTTGACTAGATGCTGGTAAAGATGTAATGGGGTACTTCTGTAGGCCATTGGGCCAGATATCTTATAGAGTTCGGCAGGGATACAGTCTTTGCCTGGTGCTTTCCCCGAGCTCATCATGCTGATAGAGTTTTCAGTTTCCTCGAGTGTAAGTGGTTCGTCCAGGTGATGTTGGATGACCTTTTGGGGCATCAGGTTTATGGCGGAGGGGTCGACAGTGGATGTTCTGTTCAGGAGATTGTCTAAAAGTAGCATTGAGTCTTCAGTAGTAACATTGGATTGAGAGAGTGAAATGATTACATGAGTAATTATGTGACTATATGCGTGTATGAGAGATTCACCGATGGAAGAGAGAAGGTAAGAGTAGGTTGGGAGCGTTCTTTAACAAAAAGAACAGCCATTATTGGAGATGTTGAGTGACAGTGGGTTGTGACAGTTGTTCAGTTAGACTGATGCTATAGTAAGGTGCAGAGTCTTTAGCTAGATAAGTTATATTTAATTCTGGGTGACTGTCAAGAGGCAGTGTTTATTATCCAAATCCAGTGAAAGCACTGCCTCTGGTGGTCATCCAGAATGAAATAGAACCATAGTTTTATCCGTAACTTGAGGTTACCTGGCATTTGTCTGGCCAGCAGGTCAGAGACCCTGATGTTGCCCATCTGTCTGGAGGTGAGATCCTGGACCTCCACTGCCACCACCAGGTCCTCTCCCTTCAGGTCCGCCACACAGGCAATCCCACTGAGCACCAGCAACAACACAGAGGCCTGCACAGCACAGTACAGGACAAGCAGTTACCCACAATATAAATGATGCATTGCCTAATTTACAGATGCAGTGTGATTGCCGAGCATCCGTCCCATGCATATACAGTGAGAGTGCTGACTAGGGCTGTGGCGGTCCTTACATTTTGTCAGCCAGTGATTGTCATGCAAATAACTGCTTGTCTCACGTTAATTGACCGTTAATTAACATAAACACGTAACATAAGCCACTGATGCAGACCGTTGGAACATCTACATTTAAAAAAAGTATAATAAATCCATTTAATAAATCCATCACAATACATCCATTATTTATTTTAGACAGGTCTAAAGAAACATGATATGAAGAAAATGTAGCCTATTTCAGAAGAACAGAATAGTATTTGCCATGTGGATGTGGGCTACACTAGTTCATTTAGCTGACAAGATTTGCTAAGAATTCCATTATTTTATATTATTTTATAGTATGAAGAATCAATTGAACATAGCTGAATAAATTACAAAGGATATTTTCTCCAATCGATTTCAGAGAGTGCACACATGTGGCTATTCTGTGTTGAGCAGTTAATAAAGAAACAGGCCCTCCTATATACTTCATTTAGAGTTATTTATGCAACGTTAGATGTGATGCAAATGTTAGTTAGGCTATACAGTGTGTTTAGATTTTCAATACATTCTAAGGCTGCATGATGCAACTCTAATGATGATTTGAAAAAAGGTGCATGGTAGGCATGAGCTCTGATTTGTTTCATGTGCAGGCTGCACACACTTCATCAGTCTCTCATTCACAATTTGACAAGCACTTGATAATATTCTCACCCATCAGACTATTCTTAATTTAATCTGGTGTTTACATATAGCCTATAGGTAGAATTATTTTTTCTTTAGAATGGCCCACAAAAAAACCGTCATATGTAGCCTGCACTCGAATAGCGAATGGAGGTTACGTGTGGTTACGTTTTTAATATGCAAGCATAGGCAGCGCGTCCATAAGGCTAGGGGAAGATACGATTTTCCTAAAGTAAATTGAATTAAATTGCCAAAATGATATAGCCTAATTAGCTTACTCCTGTCTATACAGAAATAAATTAAATATTTCTAAATAGGCTACTAAAGCATGATTTGGCCTCAGAGAATCATTAACTTCTTTAAAAAATATGTTTTAAATCGTATTGCCTACAGTCGGAAGGAAAGGCAGCGCGCACAATTTGCGCAGATTATTGTTGAGTTGTGACTGTCTGTAAAAAATTGAGAGGCCAAGCATATCGCAATATTTCAAAATACAATTGCAGGAAAACATAGTTTGGAAAGCAAATTGTTATTGCTGTAAAGAGAAGACAAAGTAAAGACTAATCTGTCTTTTAGTTATTACAATTCTCAACTTAATTGAGCGAACAACAGTATAGCCTATCTTACTGGCACCAGCGGAGAGCATGGCAATATCCCCTGTGAGTGAGCACTGCGCATATTCACTATTTATCACTGTTGATTCAGTGCTACTTAAGTGTGCTTTTTGACAATAATTTCCTCCTCCAGTTTAGATGGACGTCATATTCTATTTGTGTCTCCCCTTCTCGTAGGCCTATTATATGGACAACGTCATCTTTATTGATCTGTTTGTCAGTGTCAGCAGAGTAGGCTACCCTGTAATTTATCGTATTAAAAAAGACTGCTAATGTCTCCAGTCATATAAATTGTAGTAGAATTGCATGAAATGTGTTTATAAAAGGCCACATTTTTCCCATGCAAAGAAAGAAGAAACGTATCTGGTATAGCCTAGGCCTACTCTATGCTGTATGCGCTCAGCCATGCATTGAACAGTATTTTTTTGCAAACAGTGATTGAGTTACAGTGCCTTCGGAAAGTATTCAGACCCTTTGACCTTTTCCACATTTTGCTAGGTTACAGCCTTATTCTAAAATTGATTAAATTGTTTTTCCCCCTCATCAATCTACACACAATACCCCATAATGACAAAGCAAGCTTGGCACACCTGTATTTGGGAGTTTCTCCCATTCTTTTCTGCAGATACTCTCAAGCTCTGTCAGGTTGGATGGGGAGCGTTGCTGCATAGCTACTTTCAGGTCTCGGATTCAAGTCGGATTCAAGTCCAGGCTCTGGCTGGGCCACTCAAGGATATTCAGAGACTTGTCCCGAAGCCACTCCTGCGTTATCTTGGCTGTGTGCTTAGGGTCGTCGTCCTGTTGGAAGGTGAACCTTCGCCCCAGTCTGAGGTCCTGAGTGCTCTGGAGCAGGTTTTCATCAAGGATCTCTCTGTACTTTGCTCCGTTCATCTTTGCCTCGATCCTGACTAGTCTCCCAGTCCCTGCCGCTGAAAAACATCCCCACAGCATGATGCTGCCACCACCATGCTTCACCGTAGGGATGGTACCAGGTTTCCTCCAGAAGAGACGCTTGGCATTCAGGCCAAAGAGTTCAATCTTGGTTTCATCAGACCAGAGAATCTTGTTTCTCATGGTCTGAGAGTCTTTAGGTGCTTTTTGGCCAGCTCCAAGCGGGCTGTCATGTGCCGTTTACTGAGGAGTGGCTTCCGTCTGGCCACTCTACCATAAAGGCCTGATTGGTGGAGTGCTGCAGAGATGGTTGTCCTTCTGGAAGGTTCTCCCATCTCCACAGAGGAACTCTTGGTCACCTCCCCCGATTGCTCAGTTTGGCCGGGCGGCCAGGTCTAGGAAGAGTCTTGGTGGTTCCAAACTTCTTCCATTTAAGAATGATGGAGGCACTGTGTTCTTGGGGCCCTTCAATGCTGCAGACATTTTTTGGTACCTTTCCCCAGATCTGTGCCTTGACACAATCTTGTCTCGGAGCTCTACGGACAATTCATTCGACCTCATGGCTTTGTTTTTGCTCTGACATAATAATAAATAATAATATGCCATTTAGCAGACGCTTTTATCCAAAGCGACTTACAGTCACGCATGCATACATTTGTTTTGTGTATGGGTGGTCCCGGGGATCGAACCCACTACCTTGGCGTTACAAGCGCCGTGCTCTACCAGCTGAGCTACAGAGGACCACATGCACTGTCAACTGTCAGACCTTATATAGACAGGTGTGTGCCTTTCCAAATCATGTCCAATCAATTTAATTTACCACAGGTGGACTTCATTGAAGTTGTAGAAACATCAAGGATGATCAGTGGAAACAGGATGCACCTGTGCTCAATTTCGAGTCTCATAGCAAAGGGTCTGAATACTTACGTAAATAAGTTCTCTGTTATTTATTTTTAATAAATGTGCAAACATTTCTAAAAACCTGTTTTTGCTTCGTCATTATGGGGTATTGTGTGTAGATTGCTGAGGACTTTTTAATTTTTAAAATCCATTTTAGAATAAGGCTGTAACGTAACAAAATGTGGTAAAAGTCAAGGGGTCTGAATACTTTCTGAAGGCACTCTATATTACTAGTCTAAATTATGACTATCCAATCTACTCATCACATTATGAATAGTAGGCTATCTTACATAAGTCTGCAAATGCGATGATGCATGGAATGCTTTATTATAAAGGGGCATTTTTATGGTGAAAATTATCTTCCCCAAACTTGAAACTCACGCGCCGCCTATGTATGCCAGGTTGTAAAGTGGATTAATGTGCTTAATTTTAAGAAGTGAGCAATAAATTATAGCAGCACAAGAAAGCTGGAATCCTCTTTTAAAAAGTGGCCAGTCAAAACTCTGTTTTCACCTGCGATTGCGCAATGACTGGGCTTCACTAGGCTCTGTGCTCTCTAACCATGTTCCAGGGGTCCTAGGCCTATAGGCTACGTTTGGAGTTATTTGGCCACTTTAGTTGTGATACAAACCTTATCAAAACATATAGGCCTATGGGCTAGGCTACATGACGTGTGCGACTGATTTGAAAAAGCCACAAAAAAAAGCCATGTGCTGTTTCTTGCCTTCCTGCACACGCTGGGCATCATTCACAAGTGATAATACATCATTCACAAGTGATAGGCTAATATTGTCACCCATCAGACTACTCTTAATTTAATTTTGTCTTTACATATACTAAATAATATATGTGTGAAATTAGTTTTGATTTAGAATGGACCATAATCATGCACCTGTCAGAACAGGGGCAGGGGGAAAAAATGTAATCTATGCACATAAATAGTTAATGGAGGACGCTTTTCCCGCGGTTCATTTTAATGCCAGCCATGAAGACTATACTCCTGTTGTAAAGCGAAGCAATGTGCTTAATATTAGGAAAGTTGAGAAATAAATATAGTAGGCCTAGCCTATATAAAGCGGATGGGATCCTCCTCTTTTTAATAGTGGCCATCAAAACCCTGTTTTCTCATGCAATTGCATAGCCTACTCATAGCATACTCCAATTTGTAAGTCGCTCTGGATAAGAGCGTCTGCTAAATGACGTAAATGTAAATGTAAATGTAAATGCCTATAGAAATGTTGCACAACATAAGCTCATGGGCTCTCATTAAGTGTTTGATTTGATTTTCGATTGCATTTGCCTTGATGTCAGAGTGACTAGAGGGACAATAGATCGCTGAGTACCAGGCCATTAGCGACTGGCAGTTAGCAAGTTTGGTAGGCTACTAATGACCATCAGCAGCATCAGAGCGCAGTTTTGGAGAAGCTTAGTTACCGTGACTAAACGGTCACATGGAATTTGACTGCGGTCATGACCCGTGACCGCCAGTGTAGTGGTGATACGGTCACCGTAACAGCCCTAGTTCTGACAATGCCTCTACTGTCTGTCTCTGTAATGTCACACTGGAGTGTGTGTATGTAAAATGGGACTTACTGTGTCCTGTGTGATGTCCTCAATGCTCTGGGACAGGGAGCTGCTCAGGTCGGCTGATGACCCCCCCTCTGTCCCCGGGGCAGCGCTGCCTCCACTGGCCATGGGCTCCAGGGTGCTGCTGGGTCGCATCATGGACTCTACTCCTGACTCTGAAACCACAACAGAACACACAGGGGCAAAAAAGACTCTTACTTATGGCCAGGCTTTGACAGTAGGATTCAAGACTAAGCAGACTATTGTTTTGAAACCATGTTACTAGCGAGATAGATACTGTATCTTTATTTTCAAATGTTCTGTATTCTCTTTGTGTGACTTCTTGTCTATCAGTGTTCTGTTACTTGTCGTGTTTTATGTTTTTGTGTGGACCCCAGGAAGAATAGCTGCTGCTTCTGCAAAAGCTAATGGGGATCTGAATAAATCAATAAACTCTTGATACAATATGCATGTGTTGTAGAGTTTGGATGAGGAGTTACCATCCATGAGAATGTTGTCGCTGGTGTCGCTGTCCACTGAGAGGTGGTCGTCGGGCAGGCTTCCGTCTAGGATGGCGCTGTCAAATGAGTGCTGCGAGAGAGACAGCTTCATGGACTGGAGCCGCAGACTGGCCTCAGGGCGCTGCTCCCTACACAAACAGAACAGTGGGTGGATTAGGGGAAACAGCCTTTATGTTCATTCACACCAGTAAAACCTCACATCTATACAGTTGACACTATGGACTTGATGGACCTTAACCATATGGTGTAACGACAACAGCAAAGCAGGAGAGCATGCTGGGAAACCTACTTGGCCTGTGTAGTGAACAGCTTGCTCATCCCCGACCCGCGACTCATGAAGCTGAAGGCATCTTTTGTGATGGAGAACGCCCCTTTAGTCAGGTCCAGGGAGGCACTAAAGGCATCTTTGGTGACGTCTTTGGTGGCGGTGAGGGCGTTGGACAGCTCTTCCTCCAGGCTGAAGGTAGAAGGATCCCTGGACAGGAGGGAGAGATGGTGTTCAGGGGAGAAGGGAGGAGAGGGGACAGGACCATTGCCACCCTCCTGGGCCATCTCCCCCTCCATGCCCTCTACTGCCTCGCTGGCCTCCTCTACCACACCATCCACCTCCTGCTCAAGGGGAGGAGAGCTGTTGACGGTGGCAGTGGCGTTTCCTATCCCACTATCCTCCAGAGGGCCTGGCGATGTAGCCTGGTGAGTGGGGGAGAGGTCGGAGTCTGTCAGGCTGGCGCTTTCAGACCCTGGGGTGTGGGCCTCCTCCTCCTCTGGCTCCGTGGCTGCCGGTGGTAGCAGGAGCCCCAGCTCCACTGAGTCCATTAGGATGGCTAGGCACACCGTAGGGGGGTCAGACTCCTGGCCCCTGGCATGCTTAGCGTCCCTGGTGTCCCGTCCTAGCTCGCCCCCAAGCCTGGCCAGGGTGTCCTTCATCCGCAGCAGGGCCACATACTGGTAGTGGTTGAGCCACACTTTGACCGGTGTGATGGCCTGGGCCAGGAAGTGAATAGAGGCCACTGGAGCCTCCTTTTTACTGTCCAGGTTGTGGTGGTCAGGGTTGGACGGGAGCTGGTTCTCCTGCTCTGAGGATGCATGGTTGGGATCTACAGGAGCTGGTTCACTGGGAGAGGAGACCAGGGAACCACCCTTAAACGCACATGGACGACATATCCACACAGACATGGCGAAAGGCTCCACGAAGGGATGAGCTCTGCCCTTGTTGCTTTTCCGCGCCCCCTCGAAGCTCCCGGACAGACGGGAGAGACTTAGGGACCAGACGTCCTTGGCCCGGAGGGGCCTCGTCTCAGACAAGGGCAGGGGCTCCATCTCCAGGGAGTGCTGGAGGAAGGCAGAGGGGAGAGGGAGAAAGGCGCTCTGGTCTCGGGGGAAGGAGCAAGGGGGAGCGGACTGGAAGAAGTGGCAGGTGGAGAAGCTGATGTAGGTGGTGTTGAGGTCGGCCCGGGTGCCGTGGGGGGAGTGGCGGGTGTTGCTGAGGACCGTTTGGGAAACAGTGATGTTCAGGGACTGGGGCCGGTCCTGGTGGTCCATGATGGATGACTCCAGGGGAATGATCAGCTGCAGACAGACAGGGGGGAGGCACAGGAACACAGTCATCTACTGACCCAATACATTAACCTAAAAATAACATAAACACCAACGTTTACATGATGTGCCCCTAGAGAGAAAATCTGGCAGGTTTTCCAGGTTTACATCCAATTTTCATGAGCAACACTAACTGTTTGCAACATTTCCAATTACTTAAAAGGTGTGTAATGAGCTGTAATATCCTGCTGCCAAAAGGGACACAGACTGCAACGATGCAGCTCTCTTCCTCCTGACCTGGTTTCATTCATTCAGTCTCACCTTGATCTGTGCTGCGTCCATGCGGATGTCCACATGCTCCTCTGCCTTGCTGCCGTCCTGGAGTTGGTAGAAGGCTTTGACCTGCTCCAGGGTATGCAGCAGGCCCCGCGAGAACAGGTTGACCCACAGAAGACTGGCTGGGTCCAGGCACAGATGTAGGCCGTTCAGCTGGGCATACAGGTTAGTGTTGGGTACTGGGGAAGGAGAGGGGGAGGGGGATGGAGAGATGAACATATGTTCAGTTGTTGTAAGATAATATTCTAATGGTTTGTTTCGTTCCACAAAAAAACTGAATATTGAATCGGAGGATCCGCAAGAAAATACTGTTTCATAATTTACTAAGATAATACCAGTTTACTATAATCACACAACAGTATATACATGATGTGGTTAACTCATACCAGGCAAACCGGGGTTGTCAGGGAAGTAATACTCTGTGAATTGCAGGTGGATGGCTGGTATACTGTCTGCTAGGTTCAGGGCCTTGCGGTTACAGGATAGTAAGGACTGGGTCTTCTTGCCGTGGCGTCCCCCTGTAGACACCTGTGTGAGGGGATGGGGTGGTAATAATGATTCATATGAAATTGATTTCTAAAGTGCTTTTCTCTCACCGAAAACGTAACAATCGGCAGGAGTGAAGTAATGAGTTCTGACTGTCAGAGTGAACGGAACTCAAGAGGAACTTAATTACTCAATGCAGTACTAACTATACAACAGGGTTCCCTAATTGGCGGCCCAAATCCGGCCCGGGGGTGATTTAATTTGGGACCCCCAAGTTTTCAACCCCCCCCCCCCCCCCCCCCCAAAAAAAAAACAAACATATTTTTCAGTTCTATAATTTTCATAGTTGGACATAAAAGACTGTAAAATCGACAGGAAATCAGCTCAAAGTGATTTTAATTTAGGAAATATGTTCCCAAGTATTCGAACATAAATAGAAGCATATGCGATCATATCCCAATGTAATCAAGGTTTGAAATTATTCTGTTTTGTCAAATACTATATCTGTTTGGCATTCTTACGGTCAATTTGCAGTGTACAAATGATCTATAACTATGTTCCGGCCCCCCGACCATCCGCTCAAGGAAAGATCGGCACATGGCTGAACGTAATTGGGGACCCCTGCTATACACCATCGCATGCAAAAAAAATACTACCAACTCAACCCAAAAATATCCATAATCATGTCATGCTGCATTTTAAATCAGTTTTCTTCTATGGTTGTAAAATAAGAAACTGCTGAGCTTTATTTTTTGGTGGCAGGGGTTTTCTACATCACAGCTGACATGCTTTAGAGCAGTCGAGCATGACGAGGTGAAAATGATTTCCTCTCTTAAGCGGTCCACACAGTTCATGCACTAGGTAGGAATCAAATTTTTTGGAGCAACGCACACCTTTTAGTAACATGATACTTTGCCTGTCCATACATTTCTAAACTCTCAAATAGCAACATTCACAAGGGGGCGATAGCAGAGATTTTATTTTAGTTGTCTTCCCATTTGTGGTAAAGGCAAATAAGAATCATGTTGAAAACATCACCCCTGTAAACTAATTTAAAAGAAAACCAACTGCATATTTATAAATAATAGCTACAGTTGAAGTAGGAAGTTTACATACACCTTAGCCAAATACATTTAAACTCAGTTTTTCACAATTCCTGACATTTAATCCTAGTAAAAAGTCCCTGTCTTAGGTCAGTTAGGATCACCACTTTATTTTAACAATGTGAAATGTCAGAATAATAGTAGAGAAAATTATTTATTTCAGGATTTTATTTATTTAAATCTCATTCCCAGTGTGTCAGAAGTTTACATACACTCAATTAGTATTTGGTAGCATTGCCTTTAAATTGTTTAACTTGGGTCAAACATTTCGGGTAGCCTTCCACAAGCTTCCCACAATAAGTTGGGTGAATATTCCATTCCTCCTGACAGAGCTGGTGTAACTGAGTCAGGTTTGTAGGCCTCCTTGCACGCACATGCTTTTTCAGTTCTGCCCACAAATTTTCTATAGGATTGAGGTCAGGGCTTTGTGATGGCCAGTCCAATACCTTGACTTTGTTGTCCTTAAGCCATTTTGCCACAACTTTGGAAGTATGCTTGGGGTCATTGTCCATTTGGAAGACCCATTTGCGACCAAGCTTTAACTTCCTGACTAATGTCTTGAGATGTTGCTTCAATATATCCACAGAATTTTCCTTCCTCATGATGCCATCTATTTTGTGAATTGCACCAGTCCCTCCTGCAGCAAAGCACCCCCATAGCATGATGCTGCCACCCCCGTGCTTCACAGTTGGGATGGTGTCCCCATGTGCAGTTGCAAACCGTAGTCTGGCTTTTTTATGGTGGTTTTGGAGCGGTGGCTTCTTCCTTGCTGAGCGGCCTTTCAGGTTATGTCGAAATAGGACTTGTTTTACTGTGGATATAGATACTTTTGTACCTGTTTCCTCCAGCATCTTCACAAGGTCCTTTGCTGTTGTTCTGGGATTGATTTGCACTTTTCGCACCAAAGTACGTTCATCTCTAGGAGACAGAACGCGTCTTCTTCCTGAGCGGTATGACGGCTGCGTGGTCCCATGGTGTTTATACAGTGGGGGAAAAAAGTATTTAGTCAGCCACCAATTGTGCAAGTTCTCCCACTTAAAAAGATGAGAGAGGCCTGTAATTTTCATCATAGGTACACGTCAACTATGACAGACAAATTGAGAAAAGAAAATCCAGAAAATCACATTGTAAGATTTTTTATGAATTTATTTGCAAATTATGGTGGAAAATAAGTATTTGGTCACCTACAAACAAGCAAGATTTCTGGCTCTCACAGACCTGTAACTTCTTCTTTAAGAGGCTCCTCTGTCCTCCACTCATTACCTGTATTAATGGCACCTGTTTGAACTTGTTATCAGTATAAAAGACACCTGTACACAACCTCAAACAGTCACACTCCAAACTCCACTATGGCCAAGACCAAAGAGCTGTCAAAGGACACCAGAAACAAAATTGTAGACCTGCACCAGGCTGGGAAGACTGAATCTGCAATAGGTAAGCAGCTTGGTTTGAAGAAATCAACTGTGGGAGCAATTATTAGGAAATGGAAGACCTAAAAGACCACTGATAATCTCCCTCGATCTGGGGCTCCACGCAAGATCTCACCCCGTGGGGTCAAAATGATCACAAGAACGGTGAGCAAAAATCCCAGAACCACACGGGGGGACCTAGTGAATGACCTGCAGAGAGCTGGGACCAAAGTAACAAAGCCTACCATCAGTAACACACTACGCCGCCATGGACTCAAATCCTGCAGTGCCAGACGTGTCCCCCTGCTTAAGCCAGTACATGTCCAGGCCCGTCTGAAGTTTGCTAGAGTGCATTTGGATGATCCAGAAGAGGATTGGGAGAATGTCATATGGTCAGATGAAACCAAAATAGAACTTTTTGGTAAAAACTCAACTCGTCGTGTTTGGAGGACAAAGAATGCTGAGTTGCATCCAAAGAACACCATACCTACTGTGAAGCATGGGGGTGGAAACATCATGCTTTGGGGCTGTTTTTCTGCAAAGGGACCAGGACGACTGATCCGTGTAAAGGAAAGAATGAATGGGGCCATGTATCGTGAGATTTTGACTGAAAACCTCCTTCCATCAGCAACGGCATTGAAGATGAAACGTGGCTGGGTCTTTCAGCATGACAATGATCCCAAACACACCGCCCGGGCAACGAAGGAGTGGCTTCGTAAGAAGCATTTCAAGGTCCTGGAGTGGCCTAGCCAGTCTCCAGATCTCAACCCCATAGAAAATCTTTGGAGGGAGTTGAAAGTCCGTGTTGCCCAGCGACAGCCCCAAAACATCACTGCTCTAGAGGAGATCTGCATGGAGGAATGGGCCAAAATACCAGCAACAGTGTGTGAAAACCTTGTGAAGACTTACAGAAAACGTTTGACCTGTGTCATTGCCAACAAAGGGTATAAAACAAAGTATTGAGAAACTTTTGTTATTGACCAAATACTTATTTTCCACCATAATTTGCAAATAAATTCATTAAAAATCCTACAATGTGATTTTCTGGATTTTTTTTCCTCATTTTGTCTGTCATAGTTGACGTGTACCTATGATGAAAATTACAGGCCTCTCTCATCTTTTTAAGTGGGAGAACTTGCACAATTGGTGGCTGACTAAATACTTTTTTTCCTCACTGTACTTGCGTACTATTGTTTGTACAGATGAACGTGGTACCTTCAAGGGTTTGGAAATTGCTCCCAAGGATGAACCAGACTTGTGGAGGTCTACCATTTTTTTTTCTGAGGTCTTGGCTGATTTCTTTTGATTTTCCCATGATGTCAAGCAAAGAGGCACTGAGTTTGAAGATAGGCCTTGAAATACATCCACAGTTACACCTCCAATTGACTCAAATGATGTCAATTAGCCTATCAGAAGCTTCTAAAGCCATGACATCATTTTCTGGAATTTTCCAAGCTGTTTAAAGGCACAGTCAACTTAGTGTATGTAAACTTCTGACCCACTGGAATTGTTATACAGTGAATTATATGTGAAATAATCTGTCTGTAAACAATTGTTGGAAAAATGACTTGTGTCATGCACAAAGTAGATGTCCTAACTGACTTGCCAAAACTATTGTTTGTTAACAAGAAATTAGTGGAGTGGTTGAAAAACGAATTTTAATGACTCCAACCTAAGTGTATGTAAACTTCCGACTTCAACTGTACATGTAATGAAAGTTTAGGTTTGTTTTACATTACCTCGTTTTGTGCCTGCCAATAGGCTACTCTGACAGCAGCTTGCTAGCTAGGTGGCTAAAAACAGAAAGCAAGCGCAGTCTCACCTGATGGATATCCAGGTCGTCCATTCGTACCACCACACAGCTAGAGCGGAGCCTCTTCAGAGGGTTCCCCGGGGGGAGAGGTGCTGTTGAGTTCCTCCTGGAGCTCTGATCCCTGTCAGGGGAGCTGGGCTGTCCATCTGTGTCAAGAGAGAGCCAATTGGGGCCCGACAATGAGACCACATCAAACATTCCTGTTCAGTATCTATCAACACCTTTTCTCTTTCCGTATTAATAACTTAACTTACACAAGGTAGCTATTCTCATCACTATGTACATGTTTGTCTGTTGGTGGATCAGATCCATACTACAGTAAGAGAACCTGGCAGTGTATCTGTTTTAGGAGTCTCACCCTGAGCCCTCTTGGCAGGGGAGTCATTTGCCTCCTTGGGGATCTCTGAGTGTGGACCAGGGATACCGGACACCTCCAACCTCCTCTGGAACTCCTGCAGCAGTCTGCCAGCCCACTGGGCCCGGGCCTCCATCGCTCCACAGTGACGTTCCCAGTGCTGACAGCCATCAGCTGCAGACCAAAGGTTATATCATACAAAGGTCATTCATTAGAGTTATACAATAGGGTTCAGTGCATCACCAGGGTTATTATTGAAAGGATTCTATCTCTCATCCTAATCAAAATATAAAATCTACCAGTTATACACATCAACTTCAAGTATTTTTCTCCAAAGATTATGTTTTACTATTTGATCTGGGATTTTGAATGATTGTGCAAGCAAACCAATCCACTCTCCCTTAAAATGGGTTTTCTATAATTGTGTAACAGACCAGTAGTTCCGATGAAGTGAAGTGCAGAGTTCTGGAAGGGATTGTGGTGTTTTACACATTCTATAGTTGAGGAATTCCACTGAGAATAATAGCAATGGGCATGCAAGCAGGCTATTAGTTTGCATGAATGAATGGCGATGAGGCTTACTAGAAGTCTGAATGGAGGTTGAGGTTGCAGTGGGAGCACTAACAAAAGACGTTGTGGACAGCAGTGCATAAACGTGAGCTCTAATTATAACAAATAGGAGCACGTTTCTCTTGGCAGAAAGGGGGAAGTACACCAGTGTTTCCTCTGGAAAATGTTGTAGCAGTGGGAGGAAAAGGTCGCAGGGGGGTGGGGAGGTGTGGTAATTTTTAGAAGTAGAAGGACTGAGAAGCTCAGTTCTGGTGACTTACTACTCCAAATTGAATGAAAGTAGAATTATGCTGACACCACTTAAAATGTAATTTCCACCTCCAGAAATGAGCCCAATAACATATTTGTAAAATTCTCTTAAAATTATTTTAACATACAATGCATTCAGAAAGTATTCAGACCCCTAGACTTTTTCCACATTTTGTTACGTTACAGCCTTATTCTAAAATTGATTAAATCGTTGTTTTTTTCTCAATGGAAACAGGATGCACCGGAGGTCAGTTTTGAGTCTCATAGTAAAGGGTCTGAATACTTATGTAAAATGGGTATTTCATATATATACTTTTTTTACATTTACAAAAATACAATAAAAAAACGGTTTTTGCTTTGTAATTATGGGGTATTGTGTGTAGATTGATGATGAAAAAAAATTATTTAATCAATTTTAGAATAGGGCTGTAACGTAACAAAATGTGGAAAAACTCAAGGGGTCTGAATACTTTCCGAATGCACTTTCCGAATGCTTGTTGTGTTGTGTGACAAAACTGCACATTTTAGAGTGGCCTTTTATTGTCCCCAGCACAAGGTGCACCTGGGTAATTATAATGTTTAATCAGTTTCTTGATATGCCACACCTGTCAGGTGGATGGATTATCTTAAAGGATAAAATGCCCACTAACAGGGATGTAAACAAATTTGTGCACATCATTTCAGAGAAATACGCTTTTTGGGCGTATGGAACATTTCTGAGATCTTCTAATTCAGCTCATGAAACATGGGATCAGCACTTTACATGTTGCGTTTATATTTTAGTTCAGTGTAGTTAGCATCCTATTGATGAATTTTATGTCCCAAAAAAACTTGCATAAACACAGTGAATATAATTTAGGCCTACCTGTCAGGGTAACTTGGGGTGAACCGCCACCCGGTACTTCTCACAGAAACCACTTCATGTCACCATTTGTTCCCCCCAAACTTTCCCTGCTTGCCACTAGTCTTGCTCATCACAATTTGTTTAAGTCACTCCCCCAAAAAATATTTAGAGGTAGGGTGGCATTTTACCCCAAGTTACCCTACAATTGACCGGTGTTACATTTAGTTACACAGTTAATTTAGAGTGTAAAGTGCTTAACTATGCCGCTGCTAAAAACTCAGGGTTTAAAAATCGTGCAGTTCGCACATATTTAGGAGTTGAGAAATAAATCAAGTAGGAATGGAAAGCTGGGATCCCCCTCTTTTTAACGAAGGCCATTAAAAATATAGTTTTCCCCGCGATTGCAATAATTTTTGTGCATTGACTGCTTGTCAGAATGCATGTTTCCCTCCCTATGGCACTCGTAACTTGAATGCTCAAGAGGCATTTCTCTCTCGCATAGAACACTCAACAACAAGCCGACATGGTAAATAGATGAACTATTCCACTATGGAGTTGTCTGGTTCTTCTATTCATTACTCGTTTTGTTTGCAGAGGAGAAGTAAATGTGTACTGTTCTATCGTCTTCAAAGTGCGCCTCGGCAGAAATTGTTTTTCATGTTCCATATTTTTTTGCCGTGGCGCAGCGCCACATATAAATGACTGCAGCGGAAACACTGAAGTACACTCACCAGGCCGGTGGATGGGGTAGTAGTCAAAACCCAGCTTGCGGAAGGTCAGCTGCATTGCACCCTGGGAGCCTGGAGGTGGAGGCTCATCTGTGTGACATGAGAGGTCAGAGGTCAAAAGCGTTGTTCACCTCTGATAACTAAGTCACCCGTCAAGAGCCTAATTGTTTAAATTAAAGAGTATTAGGACAACCAGAAAGTATAGATCGGATCTCCTCAGGCAGAAAAGGTCATACTCTCCGAGGGTGTCTCAAGGGGAGTAGGATATGCAAAAACAAATGTCCATTTCACACCACACTCACACACAGGTTACACACTTGTACATGTGTGAAACAGGGAAAATATAAGCACCCCCTATTTGACCATTGTTATAGGCCAATTCTGTGCACTGACATTTTTGGGGTGTCTGTGGGATAGTCTGTGGGATAGTCTGTGGGACTAACCGGGGTCTGCTGAGGAGCTGTCGTTGCATATGTGCAGGTCTAGACGAGAGATGAAGGTGTGGTAGGAGGACTCTTTGACGTCGTGTTGATCAAAGTACTGGTCCAGGGTACTGGGTGCACCACCGATGGGAGGGGGTGAAGGGTCTGTCCATAGATTGTGGATACCAGGGGACGGGGGTGCAGTCTGTAACACAGAATCATACAATCAATATCTCTATTACAAAGACTATTATAATATCTAGACCAGCCATACTCAACAGGCAGACCCAGAACGGGGTCAATACAGACCATGGGTCCCGACTAATTTTGGAAATTAGTCTGTCTTTTACCTTAGGCTACTGCTGTTGAGAGTAGTAAGAGTTTGAAATGTGGTAGTAAATGGTCAGTTTGTCATTCAATGACAGATCTTAGAGAGCTATTTATAACCTGTCAGAAATGTCCAGTTGATCAACTAGCCCATGTTAGCTAGGTAGGTAAGTTAGGATAACCACCTATTTATATCTTGTAGTTACCATGGCCAGATTACGTGCCCAAGGCCCTCGACCCCAAGAGGGCCCCCATTGATTTTGTTGAGTCACTCAGGTATCATAACAAATGTTATTTACAGAAACAAGAAGGGTGTGAACAGTTTCGGGTTACATACATTGCAAGTGGGGGTTTGTTACGACGCCAATAAATGACAATATCTATCCAGACCTTTGCCACCTAGGAAATTTGTGTGACCGTATCTTCTCAAATAGTAGTTGAGTACCCCTGATCTAGACAAAATTATGTTTAAGTGAGTGAGTATATACACAGACAGTAGTTCAGTAATATAGCCAGTGGCATGTAAATATTGGTGGGGCAAACTCAACCAATTTCTTTAGATGCATGCCATCAAAGCCACTACACAACACTAAACAATACATTAATTGCACTATAACAGTGACAAACTGTGCCCACAAACTGTTATGGCCTACATGCACTGTATACAGTGGGGAAAAAAAGTATTTAGTCAGCCACCAATTGTGCAAGTTCTCCCACTTAAAAAGATGAGAGAGGCCTGTAATTTTCATCATAGGTACACGTCAACTATGACAGACAAATTGAGGAAAAAAATTCCAGAAAATCACATTGTAGGATTTTTAATGAATTTATTTGCAAATTATGGTGGAAAATAAGTATTTGGTCACCTACAAACAAGCAAGATTTCTGGCTCTTACAGACCTGTAACTTCTTCTTTAAGAGGCTCCTCTGTCCTCCACTCGTTACCTATATTAATGGCACCTGTTTGAACTTGTTATCAGTATAAAAGACACCTGTACACAACCTCAAACAGTCACACTCCAAACTCCACTATGGCCAAGACCAAAGAGCTGTCAAAGGACACCAGAAACAAAAGTGTAGACCTGCACCAGGCTGGGAAGACTGAATCTGCAATAGGTAAGCAGCTTGGTTTGAAGAAATCAACTGTGGGAGCAATTATTAGGAAATGGAAGACATACAAGACCACTGATAATCTCCCTCGATCTGGGGCTCCACGCAAGATCTCACCCCTTGGGGTCAAAATGATCACAAGAGCGGTGAGCAAAAATCCCAGAACCACACAGGGGGACCTAGTGAATGACCTGCAGAGAGCTGGGACCAAAGTAACAAAGCCTACCATCAGTAACACACTACGCCGCCAGGGACTCAAATCCTGCAGTGCCAGACGTGTCCCCCTGCTTAAGCCAGTACATGTCCAGGCCTGTCTGAAGTTTGCTAGAGTGCATTTGGATGATCCAGAAGAGGATTGGGAGAATGTCATATGGTCAGATGAAACCAAAATAGAACTTTTTGGTAAAAACTCAACTCGTCGTGTTTGGAGGACAAAGAATGCTGAGTTGCATCCAAAGAACACCATACCTACTATGAAGCATGGGGGTGGAAACATCATGCTTTGGGGCTGTTTTTCTGCAAAGGGACCAGGACGACTGATCCGTGTAAAGGAAAGAATGAATGGGGCCATGTATCGTGAGATTTTGAGTGAAAACCTCCTTCCATCAGCAAGGGCATTGAAGATGAAACGTGGCTGGGTCTTTCAGCATGACAATGATCCCAAACACACCGCCCGGGCAACGAAGGAGTGGCTTCGTAAGAAGCATTTCAAGGTCCTGGAGTGGCCTAGCCAGTCTCCAGATCTCAACCCCATAGAAAATCTTTGGAGGGAGTTGAAAGTCCGTGTTGCCCAGCAACAGCCACAAAACATCACTGCTCTAGATGAGATCTGCATGGAGGAATGGGCCAAAATACCAGCAACAGTGTGTGAAAACCTTGTGAAGACTTACAGAAAACGTTTGACCTGTGTCATTGCCAACAAAGGGTATATAACAAAGTATTGAGAAACTTTTGTTATTGACCAAATACTTATTTTCCACCATAATTTGCAAATAAATTCATTAAAAATCCTACAATGTGATTTTCTGGAAAAAAAATTCTCATTTTGTCTGTCATAGTTGACGTGTATCTATGATGAAAATTACAGGCCTCTCTCATCTTTTTAAGTGGGAGAACATGCACAATTGGTGGCTGACTACATACTTTTTTTCCCCCACTGTATAAGCAAAATAACAATTGAGATGTACAAACTATGGAATGAGGGCATGATGAGTGGATAAGAGGCAAGCCGCAATTTCGATTAAGACATTAATGAGCTAGCTAAGACGGACGAAGTCGATATAACTATTTGTTCAGCACTTTTGAAATGTACAGTGACAGAATTCAGAACATGGGCTGTTCTTACAGTATTCTCCCTGTACACCAAGTCAGAAACGTAGGATAAATAACGTAGGATATAAGCAGACAATGAAAGCTCTTACAATATTCGATGATGACATTTCTCTAAAACCGGCTATAGGATACATGTGCACCACCAATTAAGAGGGACCCATTTCTTGGGGTGAGACACATGGGCTAATAACAGCTTACTACACAACATACACTTAGTATTACTTTCTTAGCTACAGTATACATATCTCCCTGTCATATAACATCATTTATGCAGCAGCAAACAATACATATTTTTGGACTCAACGTTGTTGTGCTGTGCACACTTGAACAGAAAAATCTGGGTTTGGCCAGGAGAATGCTACCTGCCCCAATGCATAGTGCCAACTGTAAAGTTTGGTGGAGGAGGAATAATGGTCTGGGGCTGTTTTTCACGATTCAGGCTAGGCCCCTTAGTTCCAGTAAAGGGAAATCTTAACGCTACAGCATACAATGATATACTGTCCCCGTCCATACAGCCAGCTGGGTTCTCAGTACATGGTGCAGATAGGAATAAAGAACTCTCAGAGAAGAAGAAAGGTGGAGGTGTATGTTTCATGATTAACTACTCATGGTGTGGTTGTGATAGTGTACAGGAACTCAAGTCCTTTTGTACACCCAACCTAGAATCCCTCACAATCAAATGCCGACCGTATTACCTCCCAAGAGAATTCTCTTCGGTTATAGTCACAGCCGTGTATATTCCCCCTCAAGCCAATACTACGACGTCCCTCAAGGAACTACACTGGACTTTGTGCAAACTGGAAACCACATATCCTGGGGCTGCATTTATTGTAGCTGAGGACTTTAACAAAGAAACCAAAGTTCTATCAACACATTGCCTGTAGTACTCACGCTTCAAAAACTCTCTAACCTTGTTACTCTCCGGGATGGCTATACAAGGCCCTCACCCGCCCTCCCTTTATGCAAATCAGATCACGACTCCATTCTGCTCCTCCCTTCCTATAGGCAGAAACTCAAACAGGAAGTACCCATGCTTCAAGATTGTTTTGATCACGTGGACTGGGATATGTTCCGGGTTGCCTCTGAGAATAACATTGATGTATACACTGACACGGTGACCGAGTTCATCAGGAAGTGTATAGGGGATGTTGTTCCCACTGTGATTATTAAAACCTACCCAAACCAAAAACCGTGGATAGATTGCAGCATTTGCGCAAAACTGAAAGCGCGAACCACCGCATTTAACCACGGCAAGGTTACTGGGAATATGGTTGAATACAAACAGTGCAGTTATGCCCTCCGTAAGGCAATCAAACAGGCAAAACGTCAGTACAGAGTACAGAGCAAAGTCTGTCGCAATTCAACGGCTCAGACACGAGACGTATGTGGCAGGGACTCCAGACAATCACGGATTACAAAGGGACAACCAGCCACGTCGCGGACACCAATGTCTTGCTCCTGAACATGCTAAACATCTTCTTTGCCCGCTTTGAGGATAACACAGTGCCACCGACGTGGCCCGCTCCCGAGGACTGTGGGCTCTCGTTCTCTGTGGCCGACGTAAGTAAGACATTTAAGTGTGTTAACCCTCGCAAGGCTGCCGGCCCAGACAGCATCCCTAGCCGCGTCCTCAGAGCATGCGCAAACCAGCTGGCTGGAGTGTTTACAGACATATTAATTCTCTCCCTATCACAGTCTGCTGTCCCCACTTGCTTCAAGACAGCCACCATTGTTTATGTACCCAAGAAAGCAAAGGTAACTGAACTAAATGACTATCGCCCCGTAGCACTCACTTCTGTAATCATGAAGTGATTTGAGAGGCTAGTTAAGGATCATATCACCTCCACCTTACCTGACACCCTAGACCCACTTCAATTTGGATACCAGAGACGATGCAATTGCCATCGCACGGCACACTGCCCTATCCCATCTGGACAAGAGGAATACATATGTAAGAATGCTGTTCATTGACTACAGCTCAGCCTTCAACACCATAGTACCCTCCACGCTCATCATTAAGCTCTGGGCCCTTGGTCTGAACCCCGCCCTGTGCAACTGGGTCCTGGACGTCCTGACGGGCCGCCCCCAGGTGGTGAAGACAGGAAACAACACCTCCACTACGCTGATCCTCAACATAGGGGCCCCACAAGGGTGTATGCTCAGCCCCATCCTGTAATCCCTGTTCACGCATGACTGCGTGGCCACGCATGCCTCCAACTCAATCATCAAGTTTGCAGACGACAACAGTAGTAGGCCTGATTACCAACAATGACGAGACAGCCTACAGGGAGGTGGTGTGGGCCCTGGCGGAGTGGTGCCAGGAAAATAACCTCTCCCTCAATGTCAACAAAACAAAGGAGCTGATCGTGGACTTCAGGAGACAGCAGAGGGAGCAGGCCTCCATCCACATCGACGGGACTGCAGTGGAGAAGATGAAAAGCTTAAAGTTACTCAGCCCCGAAAACCCTCACAAACTTTTACAGATGCACCATTGAGAGCATCCTGTCGAGCTGTATCACTGCCTGGTATGGCAACTGCAGAGGGTGGTGTGGTCTGCTTAACACATCACGGGGGGCACACTGCCTGCCCTCTAGGACACCTACAGCACCCAATGTCACAGGAAGGCCAAAAAGGATATCAACCACCCGAGCCACGGCCTGTTCACCCTGCTGTCATCCAGAAGGCGAGGTCAGTACAGGTGCATCAAAGCTGGGACCGAGAGACTGAAAAACTGCGTCTATCGCAAGGCCATCTGACTGTTAAATAGCCATCACTAGCCGGCCTCCGCCCAGTCCCTTGCCCTGAACTTAGTCACTGTCACTAGCCGGCTAGCACCAGGTCACTCAACCCTGCACCTTAGAGGCTGCTGCCCTATGTACATAGACATGGAATCACTGGTCACGTTAATAAATGTTTACATACTGTTTTACTCATTTCATCTGTATATACAGTGAGGGAAAAAAGTATTTGATCCCCTGCTGATTTTGTACGTTTGCCCACTGACAAAGAAATGATCAGTCTATAATTTTAAAGGTAGGTTTATTAGAACAGTGAGAGAGAATAACAACACAAAAATCCAGAAAAACGCATGTCAAAAATGTTATAAATTGATTTGCATTTTAATGAGGGAAATAAGTATTTGACCCCCTCTCAATCAGAAAGATTTCTGGCTCCCAGGTGTCTTTTATACAGGTAACGAGCTGAGATTAGGAGCACACTCTTAAAGGGAGTGCTCCTAATCTCTGCTTGTTACCTGTATAAAAGACACCTGTCCACAGAAGCAATCAATCAATCAGATTCCAAACTCTCCACCATGGCCAAGACCAAAGAACTCTCCAAGGATGTCAGGGAAAAGATTGTAGACCTACACAAGGCTGGAATGGGCTACAAGACCATCGCCAAGCAGCTTGGTGAGAAGGTGACAACAGTTGGTGCGATTATTCGCAAATGGAAGAAACACAAAATAACTGTCAATCTCCCTCGGGCCTGGGGCTCCATGCAAGATCTCACCTCGTGGAGTTGCAATGATCATGAGAACGGTGAGGAATCAGCCCAGAACTACACAGGAGGATCTTGTCAATGATCTCAAGGCAGCTGGGACCATAGTCACCAAGAAAACAATTGGTAACACACTACGCCGTGAAGGACTGAAATCTTGCAGCGCCCGCAAGGTCCCCCTGCTCAAGAAAGCACATATACAGGGCCGTCTGAAGTTTGCCAATGAACATCTGAATGATTCAGAGGAGAACTGGGTGAAAGTGTTGTGGTCAGATGAGACCAAAATCAAGCTCTTTGGCATCAACTCAACACGCCGTGTTTGGAGGAGGAGGAATGCTGCCTATGACCCCAAGAACACCATCCCCACCGTCAAACATGGAGGTGGAAACATTATGCTTTGGGGGTGTTTTTCTGCTAAGGGGACAGGACAACTTCACCGCATCAAAAGGACGATGGACGGGGCCATGTACCGTCAAATCTTGGGTGAGAACCTCCTTCCCTCAGCCAGGGCATTGAAAATGGGTTGTGGATGGGTATTCCAGCATGACAATGACCCAAAACACACGGCCAAGGCAACAAAGGAGTGGCTCAAGAAGAAGCACATTAAGGTCCTGGAGTGGCCTAGCAAGTCTCCAGACCTTAACCCCATAGAAAATCTGTGGAGGGAGCTGAAGGTTCGAGTTGCCAAACGTCAGCCTCGAAACCTTAATGACTTGGAGAAGATCTGCAAAGAGGAGTGGAACAAAATCCCTCCTGAGATGTGTGCAAACCTGGTGGCCAACTACAAGAAACATCTGACCTCTGTGATTCCCAACAAGGGTTTTGCCACGAAGTACTAAGTCATGTTTTGCAGAGGGGTCAAATACTTATTTCCCTCATTAAAATGCTAATCAATTGATAACATTTTTAACATGCGTTTTTCTGGATTTTTTGGTTGTTATTCTGTCTCTCACTGTTCAAATAAACTTACCATTACAATTATAGACTGATCATGTCTTTGTCAGTGGGCAAACGTACAAAATCAGCAGGGGATCAAATACTTTTTTCCCTCACTGTTACTGTATTCCAGTCAATGCCACTCCGACATTGCTCGTCCTAATATCTATATATTTCTTAATTCCATTTGTTTACTTTTAGATTGTGTGTATTGTTGTGAATTGTTAGATACTACTGCACTGTTGGAGATAGCGAAATGCTTGTGTTCCTACACCCGCAATAACGCCTGCTAAACATGTGTATGCGACCAATAACATTTTATTTTATTTCGAATGTAAATCTATGGCAGCACCCAAGGGGGCTTGAACTGACTAGCTCTCCCTGTAGATTCTGCAGTGACATAGTGTCCCCATGAGTGACAGACCACTGAGCCAATCACGGCGCAACTACAGGCATACAAATAAATGTTTTATTTGTTTTAGCTAAACATGTGGGGCTCAAAACAGGTTGGGCTCTGCCCCACCTGCCCTAAATGACAGGTCGCCACTGAATATAGCAAGATTTGACATAGAACTGCAGTACAAACTAAGTGCAGGCTGCAGACTCTGTGCCGTTGTTAACACATATAAAAGGAAGGCGAGAGGATGGTACCTGTAGGGACTCCGCAGCCATACTCTTCCTCTGCTGGGCAGACTTCTCCATGGCCTCGCTCAGGGACTTGGCGTAGTGGATGACAGCTTTGAGCTGAGAGTCCGTCAGCACCCACAGCAGGTCATCCAGAATGAAGAGCAGTTTAGAGGCCAGCACGTTACAGTCCTTCACCTGGGATATGATTAAAGACAGAGGAGAAACCTGGTTAGTCATCATGTTACAGAAGAAGCCATTTTACATTTATACAATGACTGTGTGTTTATTTACTCTGAAGCACCTTGAGAACAGTTGCATGTGAGAAAGAAAGTGTAACATGGTTAAACTGTTGGGGAAAAGTCACATCAAGTAAACCCCACCCTCCCTGGCCCACCCATGGCCCAGTCTTACCCTGCGCTTCAGGGCGATGCGGATGCGTCCCTGGTTGGTAATGAGGCGTATTGGGATACTGCCCAGGTCCTGGTCCTCACTCTCTATGGCATCAGCCTCTATACGCAGACTCTGCCAGTTGATCTCCTTAAATGTCAACACCTGGGGAGTTCCACAAAACATACACAGACAGACATAGACACACGTACATAAATATTAGGGAACCAGTGTATTGGACGAGCTACAAGTACACTGGCCTAAAAGTCTGTCTTTACGAGAAAAACAGGGAGACCATGTAAACGAGGTCATCTCTGAGGCTAACGCAGATGCATTTCCCGAACTCACTTAGAGGGGCTGGAAATCGTGACCAATAAAACGCTGAACAATTGGCCTAATTAAGTGATTTATTGCTGGCCTGAAAAACAAATACATTAACTCTGTAGGCTGGACATACTGTACTAACTCTATCATGAAATCTGGACATACTATCATGAAACCTGGACATACTGTACTAACTACCATTAAACCTGGACATACTGTACTAACTATCATGAAACCTGGACATACTGTCCTATAGATACTCTGGCTTGACAGTGAGGAAGTTGAACACAGGGGTAGATGTATTCATAAATACAATTTAATAGTGTTCATTTAATTCTGTGGGTGTACCTCTCCTCTCTTGGGGTCCGTGATGCGAGTGTAGCGGAGGTCAGTCTTCTGCCATTTGGGGTTGAGACTGTTGCCTTGCAGCTGCCAGAGCTCGAAGGAGGCGTGGAAGGCACGGGACTGCACCTTGATGGTGATGGAGTTGATGATGACAGACATACCCTCCACCACCTTCTCAGCGAAGCCATACTCACTGCAGAAAGACACAAGAATAGACTATCAGATGAGAATATGACCGAAGACAGTGGGTTTACAGTAAATTATATTTGTCCAGAGCAACAGTTAATATAGAATAGTATAAAATAAATAGGATCTATCACAAATGTCCCTCAAACGGTTCCAAACAAACAGAACAGGTAAGGCTTACCTCTGGCCAGCAGTGATGGCAATAGGGGAGGGGCCATTTGGTGGACGGGGCTCCTCACACGTTCTCATCTCCACCTCCACCTTGTCCAGGAACTGCAGGAGTTGGAAGAAGGGTGCATAGTGACCATAGTTCAGCACAGCAGGGGTGGATGCAGTATTACAATATTAAACCATTACACTTTACTACAGGATAAATAAAATGGAGAGAGAGAGGGAGACTGAGCGGTACAGAAGGAGAGCCAGAGAAAGAAAAATAGAAAAAGTCAACAAACTGGTAGAGGAATAGAACAAAGGGCAGAATTCATACCAGGCAGATGGGGCTGGTCTTCAACTTTGTCCATTGTATCTGAGGGAGACAAAACAGCAGGGGACCAGTCAGGAAGACACAAACACTTTCCTCAGCACTGTTCTACTGGATTGTTTATCATTCACTGTGCACAAGATACACAGAGTGGCTTGTGCTTTTAGACCTCTCCTTGTAGACTAATACCCGACCTAGACTGGCTTCAAATTAGTAATCTTGAAGATAAAACATTAATAAGAGGACATCTGATTTGGCCCATACAAAGACAACCCAGCTAATTTCCAATCTGGTCTGCAGTCCACATCTTTCTAAACAACAGGTTGAGCAGGCCATTCAGGGCTTCGGTGTGGTGCTGTGCTAGCGTCTGGCCTTTTGTGACCTTCCCACTCATGCTGCTCTCTCTCTGTTATCTGAGGCTAGCAGTGGGCCTGGAGATGTGTCCACTGGTCTTAGTGTTATCAAACAGCAGTGCTACTTATCTCAGCCGTGCTGCCAGTGTGTGTAGCCTATGCCCTCTGTGGCTTTCATTGATGCAGCTAAAGGCTACACTGTGAAACCACAATGACATTGTCTTGTCAAACCGCTCACCATTCATTTTGCCTGGCAGTGCTTTACTGCTTTCATGTTAATCTCCCATTGGTCAGCAAATATGACCAAGTGTTTCCCCTATATTCATTTAGCAGTGGCGGGCCCTCGCCGCTAAATAGTTGCTGCCACTCCAAGAAAAATGAAAAAAATGTGGATGGTAAAACGTTGTCAGTTTAAACAACTAAAACCAGATATAAAGTATGTAGAAATGATAAAAGAGCTATATATATTTTAAATAAGATAATCTTTGAGAACTAACAATCACCAATAAAAACTAGTCAGAGAGAATCTAAAATTCCAAAAATGTCATGGCATTTTGTTATAATGTTTGAGTCACTCAGATAGCACAAGAACATGGCATAAGCCATGGCAACATGTATAGAATTGCAGGAAATTAGCTTTAAAACAGATTAATTTATTTCTCAGCCCCATGACAAAATGTGTAGAATTACAGGAAACAAGCTTTAAAACGGTGACATTTTCTCTCTGCCCCATGGCAAAATGTGTAGAATTGCAGGAAATGTGCTTTAAAACAGCAAAGTTTTTGCAGCCAAGAGGAGGGCCTTTAAAATCTTTGGTCAGAGACTGTGTAGTTGGCCACTGTGTAGTTTTGCACTGTGTAGTTTTGCAGAAAAAAAATCATAGGGGAAACACTGACCTTAACTACTAAATTAATTCAGTGATTTAATCTTGGAACACCCTTTCTTATCTGTACACAGCCATTGCCATCGGGGAAAGACATATGGATTTGACATGGTTTTTTATAAGAATAACACGGTTGTCTCACCCTGATTGCAGCCTTGTTGCAGTAGACCCGGGTGACAGCCAACCAGGTGGGCAGGTCCAGCATGTTCTGCAGCACCTCTTCATCCAGCTCCAGGTTGGACAGCTGGCCCTCGCCCTTCAGCGTGCTCAGGTTGATCTTGTCTGGGGACAGGTTCTTGGTGAACCTTCATACAAAGGAATGAGAGAGAGGGGTAAGTTCAGGAAACCAATGACTCTGTAGGCTGGACATTCTGTACTAACAGTACCATGAAACCTGGACATACTGTGTTAACTCTACCATGTACAAACTGTCATGGCATGGACCCCCCATTGATTTTGTTATAATGTTTGAGTCACTCAGATAGCATAAGAAAACGGCATAAAAACCAGACTGATTGCTGCGTTCACCAAAATAGTTCACGTCATGTATGTGTGGTTTACGAGGGTTCGGAGGCTGTGAGAGACAGTGTAAATGAGGTTAAAATTAGATGCTAGTCTGACCAAGGTCAGCTTTTTCCAGTGATATTGGCAGTGAGATGTAATTGTGAGGTTCATGCTGTAGGCCTAACTGAATCCCAGGCTGTAGTACAGACCGTGTCTTGGCCAGATTCCCACCATAGGATTTTCCCCATCTGGCTTCATTGACCTTACCCTCCACTAGAGCTTAAAATTAACTGCTGAGCCATTTGCCAGAGCAAAACCTCACACAGTGAAACAGCAGTGGTGAGGGATAGGCTTGCTGTAACGTATTCTGAAAAGATGATTATGCGGCAACAAACAGACCATTTAGAGTTCCAATCTACCACACTCACCATGACCGGATAATTATGACCTTTACGCCACACTCATTAGTCTAACTAAAACCTAACATTTCAGACTTCAACATAATGGCTGGTGTTTCTTGGGCTTTGGCTGGTGGTGACAGAGCTAAAAGCCAATACACAAGAGGTCTGACTCTAGTGCTGGACTGACTCACATGTCCACTGTCTGGGTAATATAATGTAATGCTACTGAGACAAGTGAGACACTGGTTCAAGATGATGTGGTCAGGGGCTTTTCTAGTAGCCTAAATTAGCCTGCCAGTAAAGGAGCATGACTATTACCAGTCATCAGCTGTAAAGAACAGTGATATACTCTGTAAACCAGACCACGTTAACGAGTGCTAAGCTTTAAGGTGAACAGGTGAACCACTCCACCCCCTCAACCATACCTCATAATCTCTATCCCAGTCACAATACTGGTCTGTCATTGACTAGGCTGCTGTAATGAGATTAAAGCTACTCCACTATGACTAGGCCTATGCCCTCAGAACCTTGTTCCACTGAGTGCACACAGCCTGGACACTCTCTCTCTCCCTGAGGGAGCCCTTTCACTCCACCCCACACTCCTCCAGACCACTTTAGCACCCCATGATGAAGTGTCCATGTCTGAAAATAGACCTACACCAGGGAGAGGTGTCCAAGCCACCTCCTGTTCCAGCCTTTAAAGCAGAGCTGGACAAAAGCCTGCACACCCAGTAGCTTTGATGTGTACACTAACCCAGCTCAATAACGAGAAGGAAATAAAAAACATTCCTCATTCAAAACAGCTCACACAGCATCCAACATGTCCTAGCTGGGGATCCAACCCTTTTAACAATACTGCGTTTGCATTTTAATATGTTTTTTTTTTTTCCTTTGAGAGCGGTGAAAATAATAAAGAATAGGCTGCAGGGTTGGGGTCAATTGCATTTCAATTACGGAAGCCTAAATTCAGAAAGTAAACCAAATTCACATTTTTCCCAATTAAAAAGCATTGAGGAGAATTGGAATTTCAGTGTACTTCCTGAATTGACTGGAATTTAAATGGAATTGACCCCAACCCTGATAGGCTGTAGTCAGGAACACCACACAGACTATCATGGTATTAATTCAAACTAGGCTAGCTATTTTGGGGGGATTAGCATTGTTTAAGAGGTATAGTGGCTTGCGAAAGTATTCACCCCCCTTGGCATTTTTCCTATTTTGTTGTCTTACAACCTGGAATTAAAATTGATTTTTGGGGGGGTTTCAGGGTTTGTATCATTTGATTTACACAACATGCCTACCACTTTGAAGATGCAAATCTTTTTTTTTTTGTGTGAAACAAACAAGAAATAAGCGTGCATAACTATTCACCCTCCCGAAGTCAATACTTTGTAGAGCCACCTTTTGCAGCAATTACAGCTGCAAGTCTCTTGGGGTATGTCTCTATAAGCTTGGCACATCTAGCCACTGGGATTTTTGCCCATTCTTCAGGGCAAAACTGCTCCAGATCCTTCAAGATGGATGGGTTCCGCTGGTGTACAGCAATCTTTAAGTCATACCACAGATTCTCAATTGAATTGAGGTCTGGGCTTTGACTAGGCCATTCCAAGACATTGAAATGTTACCCCTTAAACCACTCAAGTGTTGCTTTAGCAGTATGCTTAGGGTTATTGTCCTGCTGGAAGGTGAACCTCCGTCCCAGTCTCAAATCTCTGGAAGACTGAAACAGGTTTCCCTCAAGAATGTCCTTGTATTTAGCGCCATCAATCATTCCTTCAATTCTGACCAGTTTCCCCAGTCCCTGCCGATTAAAAACATCCCCACAGCATGATGCTGCCACCACCATGCTTCACTGTGGGGATGGTGTTCTCGGGGTGATGAGAGGTGTTGGGTTTGCGCCAGACATAGCGTTTTCCTTGATGGCCAAAAAGCTCCATTTTAGTCTCATCTGACCAGAGTACCTTCTTCCATATGTTTGGGGAGTCTTTGCTTATTTTTTTCTTTAAGCAATGGCTTTTTTCTGGCCACTCTTCCATAAAGCCCAACTCTGTGGAGTGTATGGCTTAAAGTGGTCCTATGGACAGATACTGTGGAGCTTTGCAGCTCCTTCAGGGTTATCTTTGGTCTCTTTGTTGCCTCTCTGATTAATGCCCTCCTTGCCTGGTCCGTGAGTTTTGGTGGGCGGCCCTCTCTTGGCAGGTTTGTTGTGGTGCCATATGCTTTCCATTTTTTTATAATGGATTTAATGGTGCTCCGTGGGATGTTCAAAGTTTTGGATATTCTTTTATAACCTAACCCTGATCTGTACTTCTCCACAACTTTGTCCCTGACCTGTTTGGAGAGCTCCTTGGTCTTCATGGTGACCCTTAGTGGTGTTGCAGACTCTGGGGCCTTTCAGAACAGGTGTATATATACTGAGATAATGTTACACTTAGATTGCACACAAGTGGACTTTATTTAACTAATTATGTGACTTCTGAAGGTAATTGGTTGCACCAGATCTTATTTAGGGGCTTCATAGCAAAGGGGGTGAATATATATGCACGTGCCACTTTTCCATTTTTTTCATTTCACTTCACCAATTTGGACTATTTTGTGCATGTCCATTACATGAAATCCAAATAAAAATCTATTTAAATACAGGTTGTAATGCAATAAAATAGGAAAAACGCCAAGGGGGGTGAATACTTTTGCAAGGCATTGTACAACAATTCTAGGTCTTATTCAACCCATAATGGCCTGGCTTGATTTTCAAGCCATCTACCAAGTATCAAATATGCTATGCTACGGGAAACAGGTTTTTAGTACCAAAGTGAGCTGTATTCGTACCAAATTGAGCTTCCCTTGTCCATCAACGAGGATCAGGTCCATCAAATAAAAGTTTATTGGTCGCCTACACAGATTTGCAGATGTTATCGCAGGTGCATCGAAATGCTTGTGTTTCTAGCTCCAATAGTCCATTAATACCTAACAATACAAAATACACACATAATCCAACAAGTAAAAATTAAGAAATTAAGAAATATCAGAACGAGCAATTTCAGAAAGAGAAATGTCAGAGTACGGAATATAAATATATACACTGAGTATACAAAACATTAAGAACACATGCTCTTTCCATGACAGACTGACCAGGTGAAAGCTATGATCCCTTATTGATGTCACTTGTTAAATCCACTTAAAATCAGTGTAGATGAAGGGGAGGAGACAGGTTAAAGATGTATTTTCAAGCCTTGAGCCACTTGAGACATGGATTGTGTATGTGTGCCATTCAGAGGATGAATGGGCAAGACAAAAGATTTATGTGCAACTCAATATTAGGAAGATGTTCCTACTGTTTGGTATACTCCGTGCATTCGGAAAGTATTCAGAACCATTGATTTTTCCACTTTGTTACGTTACAGCCTTATTCTAAAATGCATTAAATTGTTTTTCCCCCCTCATAAATCTACACACAATACCCCATAATGACAAAGCAAAAACAGGTTTTTAGAAATGTTTGCACATTTATTTAAAATAAAAACTGACATATCACATTTACATAAGTATTCAGACCCTTTACTCAGTACTTTGTTGAAGCACCTTTGGCAGTGATTACAGCCTTGAGTCTTCTTCGGTATGACGCTACAAGCTTGGCACACCTGTATTTGGGGAGTTTCTCCCATTCTTCTCTGCAGATCCTCTCAAGCTCTGTCAGGTTGGATGGGGAGCGTTGCTGCACAGCTATTTTCAGGTCTGTCCAGAGATGTTTGATCGGGTTCAAGTCCGGGCTCTGGCTGGGCCACTCAAGGACATTCTGAGACTTGTTCCGAAGCCACTCCTGCGTTGTCTTGGCTGTGTGCTTAGGGTCATCGTCCTGTTGGAAGGTGAACCTTCGCCCCAGTCTGAAGTCCTGAGCGCTCTGGAGCAGGTTTTTAATCAAGGATCTCTGTACTTTGCTGTATCTTTCCCTCGATCCTGACTAGTCTCCCAGTCCCAGACACTGAAAAACATCCCCACAGCATGATGCTGCCACCACCATGCTTCACCCTAGGGATGGTGCCAGGTTTCCTCCAGACGTGACGCTTGGCATTCAGGCCAAAGAGTTCAATCTTGGTTTCATCAGACTAGAGAATCTGGTTTCTCATGGTCTGAGAGTCTTTAGGTGCCTTCTGGCAAACTCCATGTGCCTTTTACTGAGGAGTGGCTTCCGTCTGTCCACTCTACCATAAAGGCCTGATTGGTGGAGTGCTGCAGAGATAGTTGACTCCAATCAAGTTGTAGAAACATCTCAAGGATGATCAATGGAAACAGGATGCACCTGATCTCAATTTCCAGTCTCATAGCAAAGGGTCTGAATACTTATGTAAATAAGGTATTTCTGTTTTTATTTTTAATAAATTAGCAAACATTTCTACAA